AAAACAAATTGATTGATGTAGAGAAGGTTTTCTGATGCCTAACGTGCAAGTTGGATTTGTGATATTCTGATTTAACCATAGAATTTTCTGTGCAGATTCCTGTAATTTGATCAGCCAAATGAATTCAAATAAAGAAAAGGGGAATCATGATGCTGGATGAAGTGCTTACAGTTGCAATAAATTGAAGGAAGCTAATAAAGCTCGTATATTTGAAAATCTACATATCAGAATACATGGTACTCTTAGATTTATCATTATGATTTGGTTGCAACTTGTACTATTGTATTTTGTGGCGTTTAAACTGACGGGATTGCAGTCTGAAGGTAAACACTCTATTTGTAATTTTGTAGTAACCAATGGCCTAACCTAGTTTCAGAAACTAGGAGAAAAGGAAAGAGATCTATTATTATCCACAGGGGTAGTTAACGCAAACTCTCTTCGTATGTAAGTTTTTTTTGTCCCTTTGCATTTCACATCTCAGGCAGATTTTTTGACTTTGTATTCACCAGACAGAGTTGGTATATTTTTCATTTTTTTTTTTTGACTGCATGTAGCAGATAGCCAATGAGGTAAATGTATTAAATCGCCAAATTTCTCATACATCATCACTATGGAAATCCATGGTATAAAGAGAAATGGGCAAAACCTAACTCCCATTGGCCCATGTAGAAATAAATAATATACTACTATGGAAATCCATGGTCGCATATAGATCTGAAGCTGCAAAGCATAATACACATGGAACTACTTCAATATATGTATGCATGCAACCTTCATGGTGCATTTGAGGTGATTACCTTGGATCTTGGATCGAAAGTAATGTGAGATAAATAACCCTGGTAATCGAGATTACCAGGCAGACAACAAGCGTTACATGGCACAGTTACATGCCAAAAAATAATGGACAAACATTGAGGGGGATTAATACTTGTGACACATGTAGTAATTGTACAGTGGTGGTTGAGAAAGCCACAGGAGATTGCCATGAACAACAATGAAAAATCCTGGGCAAGCCTATCTCATTCACGCCCATTCCTTGTGCTTTAGTCAGTTTTTGGTCTTCAATTTCATTGCTCCTTGCTGCTTCATTGCTCCTGGTCTATCTATATCAAGTAAATCTCAAGAGCTTAAGTAATAATCCAAGGCTTGTTCGTGCTTCTCCAACACATTGATCTTCACCGGCAAATCATGCAGATGATATGTAAGTACCACCATTTTAACCATTTGGAGGGGGAGACCTTGGATATGACACGTGAGGGAAGCTTTGCTGGCCAATTGGATCTCTTAAAAGAGGGTTGCACCGGTCGAATATTATCCGCCCTCCTCGTCCGATCCTGCCATGGAAGCGGTACGTTGGTGCAACTGGGCCATTCTCAGGTGGCTGCATAATGCCTACAGCCGCAAGCTTGTGAGGATCCAGTGGTCTTGTAAATAGCAATATAGGCTCATCAGTATCCTGCATTAAACTTGGTAAATTTATTCCAGATGAAATATCTGCAATTTCTGCAACCGTCAAATTCTATTGCGCATTACTGAATGTTCAGATAGATATCAATGGTGGCATAAGGCTGTGAAAAAAGAAAGCATACCCTCTTCTGTAGCCATCCATTTGACATAGGTCTCTGTTTCAATTCTCGCTTTATCCGGCCTGTAGGGACCATCACAAGCTTGGAGTCTGCATATTTTGAATGGATAGAAGCAAGCCCAGCGTGTGGGTGACCATTTGTTGTATCATCCGAGTCCATATAATCATCTTCACTTGAGGCCAACTTGCATGTAACTTGTAATCCTGGCAATGCAATTTTATCTTCGACAATCTGTGCCTCATGCTAGAAAAAAAATATATCATGTAAAGCAGCATAAAAGATAGGTGAATCCCTAACAAATTGTCAATTGTCACCATGAGATAATTGAACTAAGAATAAGTAAAATGTTTGCGAATGAAATAATTGAACTAAGAATGTCAATACTTCCATTCCATAGACGCAAGACAAGTATCCAATATGAAGAAATACCGTCATATCATGTGACCTTGGTGTCCAAACCATGATGTTCCTGTAAAAATCTGATGATCTGCTTTTAACCAACCTTCTTCTAGGAGAGGCATGCTACTAGAGAACTTTAACAAAGGGTTGGCTGCCGATGTCTTCTATCAGTTACTGCTCAAAAGAAAAAAGAGCCCAAACAAAATAACTCTAGAATAACAAAAATAAAGGCGCTTCTTCAAATATTCAAATTCTCCACTTTTAGTGGTACAAGAAATGTTTTTGTACATGCGCCAAGACTCCTGGCAATAAAACAGCTCTGCTGTTCCACTTCCATTGTTGTTTCCTAAAAAATCAACTTTTCTACGTAAGGCCCTTGTAGAATTTCTCAAGGCAGAGACCGCTATAGAGCCAACTAAACTATATGTACTCAATATCAAAGTTATCTTTGGTAACTTCCAATTTTTTTTAAAAAACACTAAAGTTAGATTTTTCATGTCACATATTTGCTAGGGCAGCTGTTTATGACAAATGAATTAAGAAAAGTGTCCATCTGAATATAGCATGATGAAAGAAGGATCCTCTCAAAAGAATGTTCACAACATGTTCATAAGGCATGTTTATGACAAATGCCTCCTCTCCCAAACTTTATTTCCTTTTTCTTTTACTTGCATTCCCTGTCATATTTTGGCTTACAAGTTGCATAGTGCTTTGTATATGACTAATCACTACATTCTCATTCATCAAATTAATTCGTCTTCAAAGACATGTTCCATTTAAATATCAAAATGTCCGTTCTCCATTCACTTCTCATATAGCATTGTTGAACTATTTAACTTCAATCTTTCAGATTTTTTGGTTGTTTGGATCCAATTGGTAGAACCTGCTTCCATTCATTGATAACTCAATCAGAAAACCTGGATGCAAAAGTATCAGCCTTAGGAACTCCTGTCATAACTATTTAACATACTGCTGCCTAATTTCTGTTGAATGCTAAGATGTATGTTTGATTGTCCACATCCTCTTCTTCCTAGGTCCACAAGCACTTTATGCACTTCATGCAGGCTACCGTAATTGTTCCAGGACCGACATGTTTACAAATTTGTTAAGAGTTGTCTTACCACTCACCAAGTTCCTCATGTAGATGATTAGTTAGTTTCTCCAGCGTTACCAGTGATTTAAAAGGCGCTAGGCGCCAAATGACACCAAGCTCCAAAATGCCCAAGGTGCTTGCCTAGGCATCCGCCCGAGCGAAACGAGACGCTCCTGAATATTATAATTAAAATAATATACAACTAAATAAAAATATGGTAAACATGTTTATGAAGACCTATGTTAGAATTAAATTGCTCCAAAAGCATCTTGTTAACCAGGAATGTTTTGCTGCTCTAAGACATCATCAAGTAAAAGCTAAAGGAGTTTCATGTATACCAAGAATGTTTTGTTAACCAGGGAGTTTCTTGACCAAAGTTGGACAAGAGCCAACTAGTTAATTAATAGGAAGGTGGGAGAATGGACGAAACAGTTTAATTAATAGGAAGGTGGGGGAAGCAAAGGGCGGCGAACGAAATTGCAGTTGCGAACGGATGAAGTTGCAGTGGCGGACGAAGGCAGCAGATGCTGTTGTCAACGATGGCGAACAGAGCTACAACGTCGAACGAAAGCAATGGAAGAGGTTGCCATCAGCAACGAACAAAGGTACTATAACAGCAGACAGAGTTATAGCGGTGGAAGAGGTTTAGGGTTTAGACGAGCTCTAGCGGCAGATGAGCAGTAGTGGCGAACGAGCTTTAGCGACAGACGAGTTACAGCGACGACAACTGAGTTGCAGCAGCAAACGAGATTGGACAAGGTTGCCGATGACGGCTGGCAGAGCGAATAAAGGCAACAGATGTAGGGTTTCTTTCATCTTTGTTTTCCTTTACTGGGTCGAGCAAGGGAGGGGGTTGGACTATGTTAGTTGGTTTGATTAAACCAACTTATAAGTCCAATCGAACCAATGATTGAACCCAAGTCCCAAAATTGGCTCGGGCGCTTGCTCGAGGCGCCTAGCGCCTAGGCTCAGGCGAGCGCTCGAGTAGCGCTTCATTGAAGCGCTGCGCTTGGGGTTTCTGCAAGGCGCTCGGACCTCTCCTCACCTCGCCCAAGCGCCTTTTAAAACCACTAAGTGCTACCATCAAGCATTACCAAATATAATAATGACAAAGTAAGTTGTCATAGATCAAAGCAGACAAGTATCTATTATAGCAGTAGAATGAACCATATACTTCTATTTTGTGCAAATACCTTATACTTCATTTGGGCTCGTTGAAGGTTGACCTCACATTCTATGAGTTCTCGCTTCTTCACTTCCCTCTGTAGACAATTTATTCATCATGAATTGTGAATTTCTCATTACTTGGCATCAGTTTATGAAAATAGTAAAAACAAGTCAAATTTGCAATTTAAAACCTTAATCAGAGCTTCCACTACTTTTTTTGCCTGGTCCAAACTACGTCTGACCTGAAGCAGAGGAATTTCAATTGGAGGATAATAAGAACCACAATAAAGCACTACAATTTGCCGAATAACAAAACCAACTATCACGTGAACAATTAAATATGAAAACTTGCAGCAAAAATAAGACCAGTAAAAAATTTCCTTTTGTTTCAACTGATGAACTTCTGTTCAGATGACTCGAAGATATCAAAGAATTTCTTATTGGCATATCTATACAAACAGATGGTTATGATAACATCGTATGGCACTAGTAAAGCTAACTCAACATTTTATTAATAAATAAGATCATAAATATAAGCATGTGTACATGAAAAAAAATATAAAACAATTGATGACTAATTGCCTTTTGATACTCTGATTATAGTACACAATCAAGCAACAATAATGATGTCATGACAGCTCTTAAATAATGTCCTATTAGTTAAAAAGAATGATGTCAGAACATCAATAGGAGTCCATCTATTAGGAATGTCCTATTAGTTAAAAAGAATAATTGAATAACAAAGTATTTGAAAAAAGAAAATAAGCTGTATCCAAAAATAAGGACTTTGTTTTTTCTTATCTTGGAATTAATCTAGCCATCTAATTGTGTCAAAATGTAGCCTGGATGCTCTTCATTGTGGAAGTACATCCTTTTAATCTCCTTAAGATCATTTATTGCCACCTTTACTCCGTAAGCTACCTCCTCTAGAAGAAAGAGATGCAAAAGATACAACATAAAATCTGCAGAAACTGCCTCATATCTATGGAGGGGTTGTCAAAAGAAGGGTTATCTGGAAAAGAAAAATCAGAGATAATTAGCTAGACTTGAAGTTGAAACAATTTGTTGCTTATGAGATGACTGAGGATATATTTGCACTTTTCCACACTCACAAATGGTTTTTTCTACTTCCAAGAACAGTTAAGGGTAGGTGACGGCTACAAGAATGAAGACCCAAAAAGCACACTGCTAATTATGGTGCTTACCATACAATAACTGATAGTAAATTTAAACACCTATCATATAGATGAAAAGATAAAATGTTTGCACAAAATGTCTTTTGATAGGAAGATAGACCAGTGATAAGGTACATGTAAATTCTCCTGTAAAAAGAATTCATTTCAAATTATTTTGCTTCAATTTATCAAACTCATTGATTCCTTTTATAATTGCGTAAAAAAGAGAGAAGAAGACATTTATATATTAGTGATTCCTTTTATACTTGCATGGATATATGGACAGACAATTACATATAAGTGATTCCTTTTATACTTGCAGAGAACATCTTTGAAAAACTACAACTGAATTTAATTAATAAGAAATTAAATGGGAAAATGATTGCCTCTTTAAGGAGAAATAGACAAGAAACCAACAAAAGAGGTATTTATAAGGATTAACTTAGATGCATAAAGCTTAGCATTTAATAACCAACATAACAAAAAGTTCATTCTTCTGGCTTTAAGACAAGATACACAAAATATTATATTCAATCAAGTCAATAGCAAACAACTGAATTAAAAATGAGTTAATCTTGATCTTGTTCATGTATAAGTGAAAGTGCTTTATTTTCAAAATTGCTCCAAATTAAGTGAAAGATATGGATTTTACCTGTCTAAGTTTTTCAAAGGACTGAATGCTGTTTTCCCTCCTTTGCATCTGAGGAAAAGAATCTTCATAAATTTACAGAAAGTTGATAATTAATATATAGTGTGAAAAAGAACAGTGGCATGAAGAACACGAGTGACAATTTTGAATGTCAGTGACCATTTATCGTATACATTTGCACTGTAGGTCTTACCCTCCTGGTGTGAAGACGGTGTGCCTTTTCCCTGGGTCTGAACACATTATACGGATTTGTATCATTGACTGGGGGAGGAGGCTGCACAAGCACAAAAATAGCCACTATTAGATTTACTAGCCCTTAAAAACAAACATACATCTGAGAACCATGTTGAAGAAATAAGCAGAACAATCCAATCAGCTTAATCAAGAACTAAAGTGAGGAGACAATCATTTAACTCCTTTCTCTACAACTTAATCGAGAAAAAATAATAATAATTGGCCAACATAGTAGTATTGCAAGAGGGCTTTGAATGTAGCAACAAATCTAATCTGTTCCAGTAAGCATAATCTCTAGACACAAGAGTGGTTTGATAAGGATCTTGAAAGCAAAGCGTCCTCAATATGCCCAGAAGAGGAGAAACTTGATGTAGAGAGACTACCTTAGACACAGGAATGCATCAGGGAATATGAATAAGGTCAAAAGTTGCATGGGAATATCTAGCTAACGAGAGCATAGACCTTGAGAAGGCTAAAATGCTTTTCCTTTCTTATTCTGGCAAAACCCAAAAGATGAAAGTTGCGGGTCTAAATCTAAAATAATGTTGAAGAAGCATGGACATATAGTCATATTCCACTTCTCAATGAAGACATACAAGTTGCCCAAGAACCTAGGGGGAAAAGTACAGTTGTCCTAGTTACTCCAACAAAGCAGCTACTCGAGGAAAAAAACAATAAATCAAGTTTATTATCACAATGCTGATATGACTACACTAAAACATTCCTTAGACAAATTAAACAACATAACTGTCTAGCCAAAAGTTAGTGTTGGATTAAGATGTTGGCCAATAAAACATAACATATACAAAATGTTAATGGTGCCAAGATGAGAATGTTGAAATGGATGTGTAGGGTTAGCGGAAAAGATTAAATAATAACTGTTAACATTTCCAAAAATTAAGTGTGGCTCCGGTAGAAGATAAAATGAGGAAAAGTTACTTTTAAGATAATTTAGATATGGTCAAAGGAGACATATAAATGTACTGGTAAAATGAGGTAGGTAAATTGAAATTAGTATTGTAAGGAGAGGTAAAGGAAGATCTAAAACTTAAATGAAAATTATGAAATAAAAAAAAAATGTTTGTCTGATCGTAAATTGACTACTGATATACCTAAATAGAGCTAAATGGTTGTCGACTTCAAATAGTTGGAACATTCCAACTTGTTATTTGTCATTGTTATTGAACTGATAACTAGTCCATCATTTTACTGATAGTATGTGAATTATTGATTATTTTGTCATGATTTGTACTCCCATGGAAAATCATGGCATTCCACATTTCCATCAAATGTGCATTTTTGCATCTAATGCTATGCCCAAAACTTTAAGTTATGCTATCATAAGATGGAACAAATTCATGTTATACCAAAAATATTAAGATACAAACATATTTTGTCAAAATAGAAAAAGAATACTGCTACCATTATAATAAAAAGGCAGCAGAACTGACCTGCAGGTGACGCAGAATAGGTTTTTGCCACTGTTCTCGCTGTTAAAAGACAAGTAAAACATGCATAAGAATATGGACTAAAGTTAAGTGCTTGCTTTAGCATAATCTGTGTTTCTCTTTTGTTTTCAGAATCAGAAATAAGTAACATAGAGTATAGCAATACAGAAAATGATTTTCTGCAACCAAGATTAAAAATGGTTTTCCCAAATCTCAATTTCAATCTAGTATAGAATAAAATGAAAATGCAAATATTAATGCTTAGTACCTTTCCTAAAATGATTGTCTATATTACTTACTCATTATGAATTATACCTTTGCTTTCCAATAGTTATATACTGACTGCAAAATCGCGAATCGTATAGACAAAGACTCTAAAGCCTGCAGAATGATCACATTGTTAGGAACCACTAAGCTTTTCATTTTTTTTTCTAAAAAGCATAGGACATTCAAATTTCAGATGAGAGATTCAACACACAATAACGAGATGGCCTGACAAAGAAACAGAAGCATATACTTGAGTTTCTTGCAGCAGAAAGCATAAGAAATAACTTGTTCTTACTTTGCTTAGATGCATAGGCTAAGGTGATTATCCTTTCCAGGGATTCTCAGAAGTAACAACAAAGTTATCCTCCAAACAACAAATTAATAACACATGTAGCACACCAGTAATGTGTTAGTCTATATTATTTATGGATATCTGCAGAGGTACCCCGATGGAAGGATTCGCTTGCACCACCCAGAAAATTCAGATAAGCACAGTAAAGAAATAATGTGTCATTAAATAATAAATGTGATACATCTGTTGGATCATAGGCTTGTCTGCAGTTTACTGGGATGGTTTTTTTGGCTATGGCCAACCACTACAAGTTTTGCAAATGTTGAAACTTAAAATGATAGCATAATAACATATGCCATCCAAAATCAGAAGTCATCAAGATGGAAAACTTTTTATAGTCATTATTGCTTGTTATGGTCGTCAATGTTTGACATATCACATAACACAACAAAATCATACAAGAAGTGACATGGCCCACTCTATTATAAGAGACAATACACTTGTTAACCAAATAATTTAGATAAGAAGTTACCTATGACCACATGACTCAGCAGAAGACCTATCTAGCTTATATCAAGGAATGCAATTTCATCTGGTTTGTTACGGTAGGGTAGGTATTTACCGGTCCGACTGCCATCCTGCACGTGGACCAACCCAATTTCGGGCAATTCAGGTGCAATGCAGGGTTTATTATGCAGTAACCCGGGCTTACCGCCCAGTTCAAGCCTGATAATGGGCCTAGACCTGACGGTAAGTCCAACCCCTTTTTTAATTTTAAAAATAAAAAATTAAAAACTTAAGTCATTTCTGATTCTCCCATGCATCCACGTCGGCTGTTGCCCGTGTATGTCGCCAATTGTTGCTCCTTGCTTGCTGCCCGTCACCTGGGTATGCCTACTCCTCTTCCTCATCCTCCACCATCTCCTCTTCCTCCACTATTTCTTTCTTCTTCTCTTCCTCCACCTCTTCTTCCATCTTCTTCCTCTCTACCTTCTTCCTCCACTCCTTACCTTCCCCCAATGGTTCACGAAACAGAATAGAAATGGTCCGATAATCCAAATTACATACCTTGGTTTATATATCAATACAACCCAATATCTTCTGAGGTGGGATCAATAGAAATATAACAATTTCATCCACTCAAAGTTTTGATGTTATCATCAAGGCCCATCTCATGCCCCAAAATTCACCTTGGGGATTCGTGTGTATAACTCTAGGAAACCTCTTGCCTCAAGTCTATCTAGCTTATATAACATCTTCAGACGTGGAATCAATAGAAACACCATAATCTTCCTCACTAGAAGATTTGGTATCCTCATCAAGGCCCAATACACAATCCAAAATACACCTTTGGGATTCTCATGTGGATATGACTCCGGGAATCTCTATTCAGTGTGCACGAGTAATTTCATCTTGATATATCTCAACCCAATAGTGTGGCCCACAAAGTTCCTTTGGTACCAATTGTCATGAACAGACTTAACCAACTAGATAAGACAAGCCTTTTAACCAAACATCTTCAGCTCAGTGATTTAAAAAGCGCTAGGCACCAAAAGGCACCAAGGTCCAAAAACGCCCGAGGCGCTAGGCGCTCGCCCGAACGAAGCGAGACGCTAAAATATAAAAATATATAATATAATTAATAAATATAATTATTTAAAATTTTAAATAAAAATATGCTATTAAATTAAGAAAATCTAAGATACAAAATCACAATGTCACATTAACAAAAAAGTTTCAAAATTCAAAACAATAAAATTTTACATCAAAATAAAAATTAACAACATTAAAATCAAAATAATATATTATTAATCTATTAACAGTATTGAAAATTAATCATTTCAAAATTCAAATAAACTTAATATTAAGAGTATACTGTATACTGAGCCTGACGAAGAAACGAGGAAGCGGCGGCAGCGGCAGCAGGAAAGGGAAAGGGAGCGGGAGGGCTCGCGGGAGGCGCGAGCAGCGGGAGGGCTCGCGGCTCCCGCGAGTAGCGGGAGGGCTCGCGGTAGGCGCGAGCAGCGGGAGTCGCGAGCAGCGGGAAGGCTCGCGGGAGGCGCGAGCAGCGACAACGACGAGCAGCGGCAGCGGGAGCAGGAGCGACGAGCAGCGAGATCGGGAGCGGCAGCGGCAGCGGCA